TCTGCTTGGGACTCAGAGGGTTAATCTCTTTCTTTCCAAACATCGGAAATCTGGCATTATATTTATTGTCTCTTTTCTATTGATTCTGATCATTCTTTGCACACAAATACGTAAAATGAGAATATATTCATCAGTTTTATTTCTTATTTAAAGGTAAAGATATTCACTAACCTCTTCGGGACTTATTATTCCGTTTTTTTTTGTTGTCATAGCTATTTTGGGGGTTTTCTCATTACCAAACCAAAGACTTTGCCATTGATTTGTATTGGAGGTTCTAAATTTGTATCCGCAACTCCATTTTAACTCCGAAAAAAATGTAAAGAGCTTTCTCAAATTGTTATTGATATATAATGCCATTGTGCACCTTTTATTTTGCTTTGTGGTCTGATTTATTTTGTGTTCCCCTTAACAAGGGACGAGGGTATCATATTATAAGCCAAAAACTTGTAGACGAGAGATCCATGTTAGTTTTGCTCTCACAACTTTAGTTTTTGAGATATAAGCCAAACACTCAATCTGCATTTCCCCCATGTTCAATTTTTAGAAACGGTGACCATCAAATCCCTGGATACAATTTATAAACTAACCTGATGTTCAGTGGTTGTCGTTTGTTGATGTGGTTCATAAGTGTTTCTCGTTTCTCGTTTTTTATATAGATTAGACCGTTTGTTTTCCTGTTTGAATGGTTTTACACTAGTCATATTTGGGGGCCCTTTATAGCTTGGTGTTCGGTGTGAGCCAAGGCTCTGTGTTGAATGCCGTACTTTGACCTATAATAGTTTACTTTTACAAATTGTGACTTGGATGGAGAGTTGTCTCATGGGCACTTATACCACATCTTCTTATATCTATAGATACTCTAAGGAACATCCAGTTGAAGTTGGATGTATTTGGCGCAGTAATTTCATAGGAGAAGATTTTTTAAATAATTTACGACGACGGACGTCAAGTGATGACATAGGCTCATATGGGCTAAAAAAATACTTCAGACCGTATGTGAAATGTTATAGCTGCAAAAAAACAAGTACTATCTTTTCGATCTAGTCTATTTTAGATATATCCAATTTCAGAATAATTTGATTAGTACGGACTGATATTGAAGCCTGGGGAAAGGTTAATTAGTTATAATTTGTGTTAGACTAGTTTTCAGTTACTGTCGGTACTTTATCTTTTTGATCGTTGTTTTTTTATGCCTTGTGTCCCCGCAATGTGATGAGTTAAGCCATTTTCAATTTATCTTAATAATTTATTCTTATGTTTTAATGTTTTGTCACTTTCCCATGTCAGGGGGTTGTTAAGTACTTAAAACATATCTAACAACCCGACCTTAACTATGTGCACAATCTATGTAAGGAGCCTATAATAATTCATTGTTTATTGTTGGTTTCTGTCAATCATATATATTTGATATTCGTGTATTGCTTTCTACATAAAATAAGTCCATTGATTTTCTCGTATGAATGTATTCATTTTGTCAAGTCGGGGCATTTTTATAACTTACTATCATCGCAATATAGTATGTGCTCGTTGGAAATGGTCGTACGTTGACCCATACAAACACACAAAAGTCCATGATTGGAAAATAAAGGATTTCTCTTTTTATTTCTATCAATATATATAGTTGCTTACATGTATGTATATATGTCATTTGGTCTAAGGTGGATAGTCTTCGCATATGCAACCATACTACACCATTCTTCTTGTTTTATATATTAACAGTTTATGGTTGAAAACTGCAGTAGCTTGCATACAATTTTTCAAGACTAGTAAAACTAGTGAAACATTGTAAAGATATATACATAAGTTCGTGTTCAAAATGACTGCGTTTGCTTTGTTTGATAGGGAAAATACCATTTATATATATATGATAGCATTTTTTATCATAACTTTAATTTTGTGTTTAATTTATTACTTTTTTACAAGATGTTTCGCCAACCGTACATAGTCGATATTCTGTCGGACCATTTTTGTTTGCCTTTTTATTATTTTTCACTGAACTAGTACACATTTTTGTTCAGGGGCCAGCTGAAGCCCGCCTCCGGGTGCGGGTTTTTCTCGCTGTGTTGAAGGCCCATTGGTGACCTTGGGCTGTTTTCTGGTCTTTGGTCCGGTTGTTGTCTCATTGACACATTCCCCGTTTCCATTCTTAATTTTAATTAAAATTATGGATTCTTTATTTCTCTCGTTTCATTCCAGACCAGTCTTATCATATTACATTTATATTGTATTTCCCCCTTTTTTTGTATAACATGTATTCCTATAGGTTATCGTCAATATCAAATGTTTTTTTTCTGTGTTTATATTTATATAGAGAGATGACGTTACTAATGTTGTTATTACTTGTGTCCAATCCCTTTTGCTACTTTTGCAGATAAGATATGTTTAAACTAAATAAATTAAACTATGGCTTTCTTTAAAGTATTATATTGGTTTTTCTCATTGTTTAATGCACTATTAATAAGAGGTATATTCGGTTATTGTCCCATTGGCTATCGTACCACATTATTTTCATATCAATAATAACATTTGCAAAAGCTATTGTTTTTATTATTTATAATTATTGTTAGCATTTTAAGGGATGTTTGTTCAGTCATCTGCTGTTGCATATCCGAAATTTGATTGTTTAATAAACAATTTTATATATATTTTTCGTCTGTTGTGTAGGTAAGGAACAAAAGTATCCATGTACATCACAGGCACATGTTTCTATCATTAAGAAGGTCGACTATCAATATTTCTGACAATTTATTTTCTTCTTCATAAATATACCTGTGCGTATTGCTGTGTGTTTGTTTATTCTACATCAGCTAGAGGTATAGGGGAGGGTAGAGATCTCACAAAACATGTTTAACCCCGCCGCATGTTTGCGCCTGTCCCAAGTCAGGAGCCTCTGGCCTTTGTTAGTCTTGTATGTGTTTTTAATTTTAGTTCATTTATATGTTTTGGAGTTTAGTATAACGTCCATTTTCACTGAACTAGTACACATTTTTATTTAGGGGCCAGCTGAAGCCCGCCTCCGGGTGCGGGATTTTTTCGCTGTGTTGAAGACCCATTGATGGCCTTCGGCTGTTTTCTGCTCTTTGGTCGGGTTGTTGTCTCTTTGATATATTCCCCATTTCCATTCTCAATTTTACTTTATACCCTTTCCATATCTTTTTAACGGAGTGCTGCTACTATTTTTACTAACAGCTACAGATTTCGATAGTTTCAAATGCCCTCGTGGATAAAAACATGAAAAAAACTTTATAAAAATTTCAACCGGAGTTATTATAATTGGACAAGCAAACATTTCTTGTCAAAACACGGCCGTGACAGAGGACACCTTTAAGTAGCGTCAACAGTAAACATTTGGTACATAATTTAATTAGATCATTGTTTTGTTCATATATCATAAAAATGATTTGGGTCCAGATATTTCTGATTGTTACTTTAAAATAACTTGTTATACATATACATTGCAAGTACATAGCACGCTAAGTGTCTTTTTTTTTGTAGAGTTACAGAAGTCAGTATATTTAGGACTTTAGATCATAAATGACACGTGTGAAAACTACAAACATTTCAGTATGGTCTTCATTTAGGCGATATCTATGTATTGTTTGGTAGAATAATGAAAAGTTCATTCAAATAGCATACATTTAACTTATACCATCTTCATGTTTACATCACATATGCCTTGCGCATTTAAGGCATGAAAGTTTATCCTACAAACAAAAGTCTTTTAATCCTCTAGATATCAAGGTGCAGTCAACACAATCAATAACATTCAGCATTACGTACATACTGTAAAAATCTTCTATAATTACTCTCAATGCTGTTTGGTTATTGGAAAAATTTATTTTGGTCAGGAGAGTGATGCAAATTGACTCTTTTACGGAGGATATTGAACGACTGACCGATGACTAGCTTAATTATCCCATGAATATCTCCTATCTAGAACACGAAGCCCCCTTGGCATAATACATAAGGTTGTAAATCAATACTTGGCAGAAAGGAGGTTATGCGAAATTGCTCAAAGTTGCCATTTCAAGGTGTGGTAAAAGTTTATCTGCAAACATATATGCTCTGTCTATCAAGACGGTAGCGATATATAATATCTGTGTATTTAAATTGTCCATGATATAATTCTTTATTTGAAAACCCTTTCTTGTCTAAAGGCTCGGCGTCGGTTGTGCCTCGAAATATGCACTTTGATGTAACGATCGCTTTGCGACAGGTTTAACTATACGAAAATAGCGTTCACGATTCACACGCAATGTACGACCATCGCAAAGTACGATTGTTTTATGAAACGGAATTTTAGCGTTACGTTTGGTTAACGATCATACGTATTCTAACGATTGTTTTATAAAACGGCAGCATGTCCATCGTTTGGAAATCATTTTAGCCAGTCATTTCACGATATGAAATACAAATATATTTTATAACAACTGATGTCATCTTCGAATCCCATTGGGAGCCATTTTGGCTGAATATAATGACCTGCGATGCAAAAATGGTTGCGGATTAACGTTGTATATTGCTTTTTGTGGCCGTATTTTCGGGTTGTCTCTACCATTCTACAGTATGCCAGGAGTCCCCCTATCATATCAATGAGATGTAAAGTAACTGTTAAAGAGGCAGCAACCCAACTATACAATCAGACCATAAAAAATGTTTTTACGATGTAAATTTATTTTCACATATTAAACAGAAAAATAACCTGTTTGCTTGTTAGCAACATTTGATATTGTCAACAGGACAAGAGGTCGCATAAAGTTCACGTAAATAATTTATAATTATTGGCAGACAATGATATCTGACTATTATACATTTTATAGGAAAATTGGATCTTGAATAACTTAAATGGTCAGTAATGATATGATAACAGTGTGGGAATCTGGCCACAGGGCATGTGATTTTTAATGGACATTCAAAATTATGCCACTTAAATTTTAATGGTTTTATAATTAATGTAAGAATGTATTAATTTATTCATTTTAGTTGTCGTCGTACTAGAACTGTGCTGTTGTACTGATTTTCAGTTACTTCATTTTTTTTTACGTTCAAGTACATGTTTATCATCAAACCGATTACGATGAGGAAGACTGGGAACATATGTGTTGTTTTGGCTTGCATGTTAGCATACATTCACTGTAGTTGCCAATTGATAAAACCAAAAGGTAAAACCGGTTTATTTAGTTGTCATCGTTTTATCATTTTCGTATGGAAAAAAAATGATCCTTTTTTAATCTGTCTGCGCATTTATTTTTAATCAGACTGAACATCTTTTTCGAAAAAAAAAAACAGCTTTAGAAGTGATAGCTCTGCAGAATGGATTCAAACTTGAAATAAATATGTTAGGACATTTTATGTCCGTGCCAGAAGCTCACTTATTTTCAAAGTTCGATAAAAGTATTGTACAAAATGTACTAAAGTAGTCAAAAATAATATAATTTAATCTCCCTGCTGTTTTCACGGAGAGAATAAGATGGTAAACAAAAATGTTTCTACAAGGAATAGAATTCCCTAATTATACATCAATAAATATAATAAATATAAAATAAGAAGATGTGGTATGATTGCCGATCATAGAGTTCGTTGTAAACCATAGAGTAAATGTTTTAACATTTTAATCGGTTCTTTTGTAGACGAAATGCGCGTCTGGCTCAAATACAAAATTTCAATCCTGGTATCTATGATGAGTTTATTGACAAGTACTTTAGATGGATATCGTTGTTCAGAGAGAAATCGGAACTGGATTTCTGGAAACAGATATTTTCGGAATAATTTTTATTACTTTAAAAAGAGTTTGCATGTTTATATTGTATAATCAGATGTTTGGGCCATGTTAAATACATGAAACTCAAGACACGAATGTTAATTGGTTAAAAGTGGAAAATTCATGTTACTCTTGATGAACGAAAGTTTCGTTTGTTAGATAATAATTTATATTATTTGATTGCGTTTGTCTTGTTTGTCTTTGCGTTTTTGTTGTTATATCATGATATGTGTAATTAATGGACGCTACAATTGTATATTTCAGATTGCATTTTCAATGGGGAAATAGTCAAAGATGGCTCTTCGTTCCCAGGTGCAGATCAGTGTGAAACCTGCAGCTGTAGTGAGGGAGAGATTTCCTGTTGCGGGTAAGGGGTGATAGTGACTATTGATATGATAAAATCACCTGACTGGTTGTGACTTTATTTAATTAACCACCATTTTTTTGTTTTCTGTCACTCCTTGCATTCAAGAGTTTCATGACTTTTTTCAAAATACATTTGAAAAACCGTATTAATTTACAAAAATAATTATAATCCTGTTTATTGTTTTTTTTTTATAAACATATTAAAGTTCTTTGAATGACTTCAATTTTTGCCATATCAGGTGAATTTGATGAAGTAGTAAAATCTTACTATTCATATTTTTTTTTAACCAAATCAAAGTATCAAATATCATGTGGTCTTTGTATATTAAAAAGATTTTTGCAGATTTGTTTCCTTGGTTAAAAGTGTTAAATGCTATTATTCTCCTTATGATATATGAAAATGTCTTTAAATTATTCTGTTTAACTTCATAGGCTAGACATTTTTTTTTTAATTATCAACCCGTATAATTCTCAACATTTTTTGTAGATTCACTTCTGGTTAGATATTTTTAAACTCTTGACATTTCCAATACATTTTTCATACAGTTAAACATTCAATTATATATTTCACATGGAAAGATCACACATGACCTTCCAGCCAAACACATTAATTTCTTCAAAAAAAAGTACATGGATGAACCAATCTTTACTTTTCAAAAAATTGAAATATTTCATACAATTTTTATTGAAAAGACATTCAAGAAAGTGTTATTTCAAATCTCAAGCCAAGCAATTATCATGCTAGATCCTGCTGAATAGATTAAGAATGCAAACTCATTGTAAGCAAGCCAGACCCCTTTCATTCATAAGTAAGTAATATGCGTGACTGCACAGCATATGGAATAGACCAATATGCCGTACATCATCGGTAACAGAATGTGCTGCTCGCGGTCACTTATTTGCAAAATGACATTTTTAATATTGTACCAGCTCTATGTGAATACAAAACTTTATAATTCTGTCAACTATTGAGAGGAACAAAAAGAGATTTGTTGTTACTTTGTTAAATACAACTGTTATTTTAGGTTTGGGCAATCGATTAGATATCTTGGAGATGGTTGTAAAACTATTCAAGTGGAACCATGTTGGGAGGAAGCTGTACTAGAATCAGATGAAAGTAAACCTTGTCCTTCATTTTCTGCTGTACCAATGGGTCGAAAATAATCTTGACAACAACTTGATTATTCGTAATGAATTAAAATGTTCTAATAAATGTATGGGTTTTTTTATTTTTTGTTGTCCATAATCTTCAAAAATATATGCAATTTGCAATTTTGAGAGTTTCCAGTCGCAATTATCCGAAAAAACATAATGCATTGAAGTTTTCTACAACATTGTAAGGGTTGTGATATTTTTTTACAGTCAATATTCTATAAATAAATATGCAATTTAGATTTTTGAGGGATTCCAAAGAGTTTTACATAGATTTAGAAGTATGAAGATTAAGCTGATTCTAGTTAAAAGTATAGTGCATGAAAATGCATGCAATCAGTTAGTTAATAAATGTACTTTGTCAAACGCTTATAATACAACTATATATTTTTTTTATATAGATTAGACCGTTGGATTTCCTGTTGGAATGGTTTTACAATTATAGTCATTTTTGGGGCCTTTTATAGCTTGCTGTTCGGTGTGAGCCAAGGCTCCGTGTTGAAGGCCGTACTTTGACCTATAATGGTTTACTTTTACAAATTGTGACTTGGGTGGAGAGTTGTCTCATTGGCACTCATACCACATCTTCTTATATCTATATATACTTTATTCTGATAAACTGCTGTAGAATAATACAAAGGTACATATGTTGAGGAAATATACACAATAATACAAAGGTACATATGTTGAGGAAATATACACAATAATACAAAGGTACATATGTTGAGGAAATATACACAATAATACAAAGGCACATATGTTCAGGAAATAAACAATACAATAAAAATACATAAATATGTTTACATGTTAAAAAAGTGTATATTAAATGGAAGACCTTAAAATATTAGGGAGGAGGGAGTAGGTTAATTGAGAGAATCCACTTCATCGTTTATAACTCTAATAAACTTACACAAATTTCTAAGCATAGATTGTTTAGATGTATTCATAAGTTCCCTGAAATTAAGAATATTACAATGTTTTGTGAATTTGTTATCTAAGTATTCTTTTCTTTCTGTTGTAAAAAAAGTTGCATTTGAGGAGATAATGGTATTCATCACCTATATCGCCATCTTCACATAAAGGGCAGGTCCGATTTTCTCTTGGGGTATTAGACCACCTCCCACATTCTTTTGGCAGTTTATGATTTACCATTCTAAATTTACAGAATGTAAACACATCTTTGTTGCTTAGTGCATTGAAATACTTTTCAGATTTTAACGATTCTTTAAATAGCCTGTAATTCAGAGTTTTTGCAGAGGTTTCTATACTTGAGACCCAAGTTTGAGTGAATTGGTCTTTTAAAGTAGTTTTAACAATTCCCGTAAGCCAATTTACATCATAAAAGGTTTGATATGTCCATATAAAGGAAAGTCCACATTCGTTTAGTGTGTTTTCTATGCTTTGTAGCCAAGTTGATCGGTAATTTGTTTCGAGTGCCATTTGAGTCATTAATTTATAAACAATTGAGTACAATTTTGTCTCTTTCCCGTTTAACAATTTTGTCCAATATAAAATCATTCTTATTTTAATATCAATATGCAATGGATATCTGCCTAACTCGCCATAAATCATAGAGCTAAGCGTTGAAGACTTAACGTGGAGTATAAGTTTACAAAATTCCAGATGAATTTTTTCAAGCATATCATTGTTACCAAATCCCCATACTTCACAACCATACAGTAGAATCGGTTTTACAAGTTTGTCAAAAAGGTCCATTTGACATTTGACAGAAAGGTTGTGGTATCGCCCTTTTTTCAATAAGGAATACATGGCTTTTGTAGCCTTTTCAGCAAGATGTAATTTACAAGTCTTAAAATTTCCAGTTCTTGAAAAATATACACCTAGATAATTAAAATGCTTTACGATTTCTATATTTAATTTATTGTAAAGAAACTTTAAATTTCGTAGAAGCCAATCTTGTGAAAAGACCATAGCTTTGGTTTTTGTCCACACTGACTCTTAATTTCTGTTTTATACAATAATTTCTAAACGTTAATGAGCCTTGTAGATCAGTTGCTGACTCAGCCATAATGACAGTGTCATCTGCATACAGAATAACCAATAACTTCACCAATATATCTAATCTGTTCTCAATGTCACTACTTAATGTTTTAAGGCCAGGGACATTTTCAGCGCTCAGAAAATCTTCCAGGTCATTTAAAAATAAAGAAAATAAAAAGGGAGAAAGGTTTTCACCTTGTCGCGCTCCTATAGCGCATGGAAATAATTCTGATTTATTTCCGTTATATTCAAGGCAAGATTTTATATTTTGATACATGTTGTAGATACATTTAAATATTTTCCCATTTATGTTATTAAGAAGTATTTTATGCAAAAGAGCTTCTCTTTTCACAGTATCAAAGGCCTTCTCAAAATCAACAAAAGCACAATAAAATTTCTTTTTCTTGTACTTTAAGATTTCGAAAAATTAATATAGAGCAAACATACAATCAACGGTAGAATAACATTCACGAAATCCACATTGATTTTCTTTTATTAGAAGAAAGTGCTCTGAAAATTTATTGAGTCTGTTATTTAATATAAAAGTGAAAAGTTTTCCAAAGCAACTAACAATAGTGATTGGTCTATAGTTTTTAGGATTATATTTATCGCCTTTATTTTTATAGAATGGTTTGATGGTCCCCATCAACCATGACTCTAGAATTTTCCCCGTTTCAAATATCAAATTGAAATTTTTTCAAAAATATCAACGAATTTATCAATAGAGGCCTTTATATATTCATTTATAATATTATCATCTGCACACGCCTTGTTTTTTTTTCAAATTATGGACACATTTGATGATCTCTTCTCTACTTATTGGCATATTAAGTTCTTCATTTATGTTATCGAATATATTTTCGGTCACTGGGAACGTAGGGTCGTTAGGGGTATCGTCTTTGTTTGAGTTTAATTCTTTAAAGAAAGAAAACAGTTCATCAAGAACAAATATCTGGTTGTTTGGAAATTTCTTGCTCATTAAGAATTTTCCAAAACTCTTTTGGAGTGCCACTTCTCATTTGATCCATCTTTTTCCTAGAGTCATTTCTGTATCTCTTTTGTGCTTTATTCAGAACTTTTTTATAGTGCCTTTCTCCCGTTTTTGCAAGATTAGGTACATTTTCGGACTCTCTTTTACATCGTTTGAATTTTCGGTAAACATTCCTAGCCGTTGTACATTCTTTGTTGAACCAAGGTTTATTTTGCAAATTGTCGAGAGGCTTTACATTTTTAATTTTCGATTTCATGTTTTTGGTACCAAATGTTATTGTTGCGGAATCAGTTAAGACTACTGCTATTTTATTTGTAAACATGTCAATAACATTTTGGTCATTCTTATTGTTATTGTCTTACTCTAATGAAATACTATTAATTTGTTCAATATTGATATTATCTTGAAAAACCTCAAACTTCTCATTTTCCCATTTTTGTATTTTTCGTTTGTTCATAGTATCTGTTTTTTTTTTATCTAAATTATGGTTTGATTTGTTTTGTGCTACTTCACACTTAACCGTTATTTCGAAGGGACAATGAACATCCGAAAATAAATTCGAAAATTATAAGATTTCAGGATCACCGAAGTGATGTAAAAAGTGTGCATTACTTAAGCAATAATCAACGACACTTGCATTTCGGCATGTCAGATTACCCTCACTGTCTTTTTTTGTCATACCATTCATTATAAATAAATTATTGCCTTTGCATAGTTCTAGCAGTTGAGTTCCAAATCTATTTTTCTTTTTATCCATACTTTTTCTTTCCCTTGGAAATTTAAATCGATCAAATTCACAGACTTCATTTATATCTGAACCTTCATTTAAGTTTTTTGTTTCATTTTCGTCTATGAAAATGTAATCTCTATCGACTGCAGTTCTGGAGTTAAAATCACCAACAAGGACTATCTTTCTAGACTTTTTTGTGAAAGAAATATATTCATTCTCAATTTCACCAATAGCACTTTATGATGTATACTCGGGTGGTATATATACTATACCTAATATCACATCTTCATCCTTATTTTTGAAATTTGGCACCATAGTACATATTTGCAAGGAGTATCAATTACTTCTATATACTCATGTAAATTATCTTTGTAGCACAGCATCATTAGTTGTGAAAAACAGCTTTAGTAAAAAAAATCAAATTAAGATTTACAACGCTTATTGATTTGTTTTGTAGTGATCACAAATGATCGCTTTCAATTATATAGTACCTATATGGAGTTATTTCCTTTCAGAACGACAGGTCATTTTTTTTGAAGAAACAACCTGGACGATATCAAGTTTCAATGAAATGCGCTTCAAGGCATAAAATAATGACCTGCGTCAGGACATTATTTACCATGGTTAAAATGCAAACTACAGAGTACATTGAATTCGTGTGGCGTGGCAAATTTTGGTTTAACTGTACAATTTTCTATCTTGAACATTTATTAAAAGTTTAGGCAGAAACGATCCTTTCCTCCGTTTATTAGGCTTAAATAAATACCATTTACTCTATTAAATTGACAAAATATTCCGATTTTAGAGAGGGGAACAGCCACATTCTTTAAAAGAAGGGGATCGAATATTTGATCCTGATTCTCAATTTTTGAAGAAACAAAAATTGTATCGCCAGGCATAAGAGAGAAAACAATTATTCTGAAAAGTTCGTTAAAAATTGTTGAAAAACTAATCTGCTTTTCCGTGATAAAAATGTCGTGAAACAAGAAAAAAATTATAAATTACTTACAAAATGACTTGTATTTTCATCATCTTACAATTCATTTGCTTCTTACTTCATGCAATTACTGTAACATTTCTTTTGTAACTGAACAGTCTTTTCTAACGTCTATATCTAGATTAATAAGTGAGTTTTTTTTCACATAAAAAAAATGAGCTATAGGGCGTGCTTATACCTAAACGCTTAAGATGAGAGTATCCCATTTCAATGTGATCGATGAATTAGGATACAATTCCTAAAAATATTGGCAGGAAATTATTTTTTTGATGGTATACAAGTCAGATAATGCATATTTTAAGGTTTTTCTTGTCGTATAACACACCTTGTGGTGTCAGAATT